GTCCACTTGGTGAAATAATCCATCACCACACAAATGTACCTGTTTCCAGCACGAGTTCGGGGCAATGGACCAGCAATGTCAACGACTACTCTTTCCATTGGTGTGCCAACATGATTTAACTTCATTGGAGCACGTCCCTAATGCTTGGGTCCCCAGCACAACATGTACTGCAGGTTCAGCACCATTCTTCCACATTTTGCCTCATACCAATCCAGTAAAATCTCTGCCATAGGTGACTCAATGTCTTCTTAACTCCAAGGCTATACTCCTGTTGAACTATCATGTGAATGATGTACCACAACTTCTCATAATTTTCTCGGTATAACTGTTTGCCAGGTCGTCACTTTCCCATCTGCAGTTTCCCATCTCTGGACAAGAATACAATCTTCGACCTCCAACTGGTCCCATTGTGCCCAATAGTTCTTTGTCACAGTGCTTAAGCTAGACACCTTCTCCCAAGCAGGGCACAAAACACTTGCTTGTAGAAAATCAATTATTGGCTTCAAATCTTGGTCTTTCTCCTGTTCTGCTTGAATATCAATATTTGGTTCCACTTCACCATCATCAACTTCTTCAGTCACTTTGACTTCAGCTTGATGACACCTGGTTAGTTCAACCTCTCTCCTTTAACACTTACCGGAATTTGGCCTTTGTTGTTCCCAAACGTCATTTTATCAAAGTTAACTACACACTTCCTCAATAGTAAGTAGTCCAACCATAATATGCATGGGTCTTCAATGTCAGCCAAGTATACTTTGTGTCTGTCCGTTATGCTCATGAGCTCAATAGTTACCCACACTGGTCCCCACAACCTTGCAGAATGTCCTGTCCCACCACAAAGCTTCTGTATGGCTTCTGGTACTCCTTTGTGATCTAACACCTTGATACTCACAAGGGTTTGCTGAGATGCAGAATCTATGACAAAGTTGCACTTTTGGCCATCCGGCTTTCCTCTCATGTAGACACTATGTGTGCTTGCCATTTTATACTTAGCTGTTGGGACTTTCACGATGGGGTTTGGTGGGTGTCCCTCAACACCAACCACTACTCGTCTCCACAAGGCGGACTTGTTGGTAGTATTCTTCTTATACTGGCTCCTCATATGTCCTTGTTCTCCACAGTTTCAACAACCTTTCTGGGTAGCAGCATTTCCTGCCGTGGCATCTTTCCTGTATTGAAGTTACCGGCATTGAGCTCTCTTGTGCCCAGGTTTGTTACAGTGCCAGCAAAGTCCTTCAAACTTCTCTGAGAGCTGCCTTTTTCTGGCCTTGAATCCTGATGACTGTACCAACCTCGGTACCTCTGTGCTGGACTTAACATAGGATTCGAATTCAAGAGCTCTGGCCATTGCATCCTGCATAGTAGAGGGGTGTGCTTGCTTTACTTGTATCTTCAGTTGTTGACTATCCAAGACATCTACAAACTGATCCCTCAGCAAAAACTTGAGGAGATAGGGTGGCGCAGTTAGGTAGGCCTTGTGTGCCATACTTTCCAAGTCCCGTCCCAGCTCTTGCAGGCTCTCCCCTTTAGCACAGACTCTCGTCC